ATAATGGAGCGCAAAATGGCGTCCAAGCCTGCTCGGATGCATGCTCGTTAAGACAAAGCACCCTAAGCATCCGGAGGCAAGCTAGGGATATATTTAGTTAATTTAATTTAAACTATTTATTTTAGCCCTAGTTATATTTTGGTGCCAGGTAGGTGCACTAGAATACCATGGCGCGTGCAATTGCCTTGAGGATAAACTAAAGAGGGATGTTCTAACTCGAAGGTCACGTCTAGGTAAGCATCTTTCTCACATCTTACCTAGTTCTTCATTATTTATGGCCTCATCTAGTAGTGTGGTCTAAATGCTCATTGCTTTTCTACAATGACTTGTTTGTTGAAAGAATCTAGTCAGTTAATGCTTGTAATCTTGTTTCTTTCTAGCTTATTTACGTGCATGTTTATATGAGAAAGCCAATGAAATGAAAATCACATCTGACTCATAGTATCTCTTAGTTGCGCATTGTCAAGGCTGTGAGTCCGCGTTGCTGGGAGACGATTGCTGCGCTAGTGTTTGGCATATGGTTTCACTCTCAATCATAAAAAGTCTGTTCTTCAGCGTCAAGGAACGAAGGTGTTCTAAACCGTAAACGATGATTCACGCTTAGATACATTCCTTTTCACATTTTGTGAAAACAGTCACATGATAATATCGTATAAGGTGTATTCCGCCCATATAATCCTGGCGTGGTATATTAAGACAAATAAAATAAGAAAATAATTCCTACTATACTAGGAGGATCTTCAAGAGTATTAACCTGACATTGTTTTCAGGTTGATATTTAAGTTTGGTACAGAATGCGACCTTTACGATCATCCAAGTGTATCCTATTATGAAACAAAGGACAATATATGATGCAGCCGGCTGTATTATTCTCTCACCTAGGTGAGTTTCCAGTTGCGATAGATTCGCTGATCTACTCGCCTACATTATATTGTCCTTTGTTTCATAATAGGATACACTTGGATGATCGTAAAGGTCGCATTCTGTACCAAACTTAAATATCAACCTGAAAACAATGTCAGGTTAATACTCTTGAAGATCTTCCTAGTAAGGGGGTATAGTAGGAAATATTTGTTTATTTTTTTTGTCCTAATATACTACACTAATAATACACGAGCAAAATACACCTTATATGATGAATCATGCTAAACCGGTGCCCAAGATTTTCCAAACCATCCAGTCCATTGTTGGTCAGGATAAGTTCACAAGAATGAGAATATTGAATGTTAGTTTGAAATGTGTTCATACCAGTGACAAAATCCACGTAAAATCTCGCAAAAAGTTACATCCACTCAAGTTGCCACACTTTACAGCAGTACACAAAACAGGTGGAGAGAAAAAGAGTGATATCACAGTAGAATAAACAATCTGAAAATAGTGGTTGGTGCTAATATTTAAGGTTTAGATGTCAAGGAGAGAATAAATCTGCGCCATTTTGGCTGATTTTTAACCACACAACCAAGAGTCCACAACTACTGATTCCTTTAGCCTTGCAGACCAGTGAGAGACTTCATCGACTGGTGCCACGTCTTTGTCTGGCCACCTTGATCTCTCTCCCAACCCAGTCCAACTTCCTTTGGCATGGTACGTCGAGGTAGGCAGTGGCATGACATGCGCAGTACATGTCCAAGCCGTCTCAGTCGACTATGGTTCATAACCCAATCAATAGACTTGTCTTTCTTGCATAGTATCTTCCACCTGATCTCAATATTTCTCAGACGGTGATTCCACCAAGCGCGAGGAATTTTATGAAGATACCTATGATTGAAATACTGTAACCGCTAAATATCTACTTTTAACGACCATGTCTCAGTCCTACATGACAGCGAAATGCAGTGCAGTTTCCTCGTACATTGATAAGTAGCTGCATATATCTCCAGTCGATGCTGCAGATGACACCGGTTGGCAAATGACAAGCGAACGTTTTGCATCTGAGCTGAGATTTCGTCGGCAACCATCGTCCGAGCTGATGCACCTCTTCAAGTCAGTGAAGTAGTCACCATAGTCCACCACTTTACTTCTTATCATTAAACTGAAAGTACTTGCAGCAGACCAGTCCTGGAGCATCATCTTACGTTTGACAGGTGCAAAATGCATTCCAAACATACTCAGATTTCTGTTCAACGCCTTTACAAGACCCGCATTTTCTCAGCGTCTTCACCTAGCAGAACAACATCGTTTGCATATTCCAAATCAGTGAGACGACCTCCAGTGAGTAGATCAATCCATGTGAAGTCAGACGTACCTAAGATTATGTTATTTAGTACGTTCTTGAAGAAGTTGAGTAGGAAAGGTGACAGTGATCATCTCTGATCAGCATCACTGCCGTCAGTTCACATTACGATTCTCCATGAGGCGTGACATGGCTGTGTGAGTCCAAGTAGAGAGCTCTGATTAGTGTTATACACTTTCTCTGTACTCCCTACACAATCAGACGCTGCCATAACACCTGATGGTCGACTGAGTCAAATGCCGTCTTCGGGTCGGGAAATATGACGTGTCAGCCGTTGACCGGTAGGTATGCTCGTGTTCCAGAACCTATCGTAGCGTAAATATATGATCGATGCACCGTCGTCCAGTTCTAAAATGTGCCTGATTTTTTCGAGTTTGGTGTTCTCGAGTTGCAGTTAACTGTCGGATTACTATGGGTGCTAAGATTTTGGACACAATATTAGTTGCAAGATGATTTCTTTCTCTTCTTATAGGCGAGAATGATCAATGAAGTACATTAGCTTGACAGCACAGCGTCTGATTCCCGTACCCTACCTAATACCTCTGTCTTTTTAAGCAGCAATTTTCTACTTCTACCCTTGAAAACTTCAGGTGGTAAGCTGTCAGGTCCTGCTGCCTTGCACCGTTTCAGGTTAGATACAGCATTCTCACCTTCACTGAGATTTGGAGGACTGACATCTATTTCTCATTCAGGTTCAGACTGGATGTTAGGAAACTGAAGCGTTGCTGAGGGTCAGTTGAACTGTGCTTCAAAGTGTCCTGCCCAACTTTCTGGTCACGTGTCCTATGAAGTTTACAGGGTCCCATCCTTTTGATTGATGGTCCCACTCACCATTATGTCCTTTCTGATGGTATCGTGAATAAGCCTAGATGGTTGCCGAGTGTTACCCAACTCTGATGCCTTCTCCGGTTCTGTCGCTTTCGTGATCCCCTACTGCTTGGGATCGATGCGGAGACTCTTGGTCACCTTATGTTTAAGGTGGTTTCGCTGTTTATGGTGTCCAGAGCCAGCTGAACTCAGTTACTCATATATGTTATTTCGGATGACGTCACGGGGATCCTTTGGGTGTAGGTTGCCAGTTGTCTTTACCACTGTTTGTACAACAGACTTAATATCACTCCAGGTTTCTTCAGGATGAGAATTGGTATGATGTTCAGATAAATGCTTGGTTATCCCTTCCTTGAATGTATATTTGACGTCCTCATCTTCCAACCAACCATAAACAGGCACATAGAGTATATTATTGCACGTGTTGTTGAGGTCAAACTTGAAGGAAACTAGTCAAATATGTTGTGTAGCAGCATCCCAACTTGCACAATCTTAGCTCTCAACACGACATCCGATTTAGTATTAAGATTCTATAGTACTACATGCGTGTAACTTCAACCTACCATATGAATGTGAACCGTGGCCATTATTTGGAAGAAATCTACACAGTCATGACATCTAACTGCTTTACATTAGTGGTACTGACTGCGTGTCATAGAAGCACCAAGTGACAGAGGTTAGGCCTCAAGTCTTAATAGCTCAGTCAGCTGTTGAAGTTGTAGAATTACATTGATTAAGATATTTTAAACGTGTTGTGCGTGTCAAGGTTCCGCCTATCATGAAACTACTTAACTGTTAATCTGTACCAATGCATAAAGTTTCTGACTTATGATCTGAGTAGTCAGGGGAGATGTAGGTTGTCTGACGGGTATGCATGTTTAGGATTCTTGATGATAAAGTGTGGACTTGATCATAGTGGTGCGGATGTATTTAGCATGTTTCTTCTCATAATTGTACGCAAACCGTTTAGCAATTCGTTTAAGTTTCTAATACTGGAACTTATTTGACAACGAATATGGCTTCCAGCCGTACATGTAAACACAGTTGTCGAGATGTATGCAGCAGAAATTACAAGATGTTCATTTTTTTCATAGTCTCAAGCGAATTGACTGTACTTACACGTTATCATATTCTTTGGGCTCACTGTATTTTCTTTTATTTTATTGATGCAAGTTTGAAAATTTTTACTAACCCTGATTTTATAAATATTTGCTCCCACATACTTTTGTCTATTCTTCTTTGCATGCCGCTGTGAACTGTGGCCTCTTGAACCGATAAACCTCTGTACAAGGTTCTACGTTGATTTTCTGTTCCTCTCTGCGTCTGATGTATTACTTGTTGATGTTAATGGAGAACTAATCACAAGGTTTCCGTGTTTAGTTAAGACTCATGCACTTGCACACCTTAGCTTCATACAAAGATTGGAATCGAAACGTACCCAGCAACCGTGTAAGTGTTCATACAGTAGACGATGAGCCACACTTATAAGGGTGACTAGAATTATTTGGCTGCTCAAATTTCAGTAGGTGAAGCGGTGTTCCAACCCGAAACCCACTGGTTGAAAGTCAACTACCGAAACCGAGTCAGTTCCATAAGATCCGTCAGTAGTATGAAAGTATGATATGCATACTGAGATTCATCAGTATCATGTCTTCATGTGTTCTTGGAGTACACCTTTGTTCAGAAATGCAGTCACTTATTGAGAAGTTCGAACGTCAGTACGGAATAAGGTTTTTAGAGTTAATTGTGCAGTAACACTAAATTAAATGTAGAAACTAAGCGTTTTCAACAGATTTTTGTTACTTTGCACCATTTGATTTTTTCTTACTGTCATCTTTTCATTTTAGGACGATAGATTTCCACAGAGAATGTTGGTCGTATCTTTGCACCAACATCATCCTGAACGAAATAATGTCTGTCGAGCTTACTGAATCAAAATATGCAGGATAACCAAGGCTTTCGTGTCGCGTATTATCGCTTACATCCGGGACGCAACAGGTTTTGTTGTCGTGGTCGGGGTGTCTTTTCCCGGGATATGTGTATATTCACTGTTAGCTTACTCCTCATCATTGGTGTTACAGTATTGTTCTTTGCTTTCGAATGCCGTCTTTTAACTCCGCTTCTCACTCCTGCTATCCCAATCTTAGCAGCTATTCAGTTCGTATACGTTGTCGCCGTATTTCTTCGTTCAGCATTCACAGACCCAGGGATTATACCACGAGCCACACGTTCTGAGATGGAGTGGACTGAATTGTCGGTTGGTAAGTTGATTAAACTAGCTTGTGCTTTAGTATAATATCTTGAGGTTAGATGAACTTGTAAACCTCAGGTGTAAGATTATATCTGAGATGAAAGTGGATTTCCACATATCTCGTATTTTTAATCATACGTTTCCAAAACAGTTGTGTATATCACTGCGTTCCAGTAAACTATAACCTAATGTTTCAAACCTTATTCGCCTTGCTCAATCTGGTGTGGATAATTGCAGTGAAGCCGAACAAATTAGTGGAAATTCATACTGATGGACCATCTGTGTTGTCAAATATCTCACTCATATGTCACATTAATTCTATGAAGTTTTGCAACTGTCACCAAAAAGATAAAAGAAGGTCTGATACGAAAATTGTGGAAATAGTTATCGGATGACATGCATATGAACCCTTTTCCAAGCACTTCAGATAAATATGCAACCAATCTGTCATCTATTCAGCTGTCTGTTGTGGATAAAGAAGCTTTGTCTCTTGAATTTAACTTTTTGTCCTTCATACAAAAATTTCAAAATTGGTGATTGATGCTCAGTTTAAATACCTTTATGGCCATCTGAGTTCACTTGTTCCAACTTCTGCAAATCAAAGCTATCTGAAAGCCAACTTTGTCGATACCGCGCATAACGTTGGTAGCTCTGGTTCCAAACAGAAGAGTATCCCGACTTCTAAGCATTGCAGTATATGGGTTGACTAAATATATAGATAACTCATAATTAGATTGTTTTGAAATTTCATCCTCTAAAACAAATTAGGTACATCTGAAGTTCCCAGAGGTGCACCACACTGTTGTCGCGATCGCCTTACTTGCGAGTGCTGTTTTACTCCTTTCAAATGTTTATCCTTCCGTGATAATTTCTCTAAAGGCTGTAATACTCCCTAAGTATCAAAGCCAAAGCAGATAATTAAACTGGAGTCGCTAAACTCTTGATTCAAATGTATAATTTAGAGAACAGTAGAACGAGGTTGGAAGTTGCATTTCTGTAAAAGTTGATAACCAATATTGATTTGTACATCATTTGGGGGACTTCAGTTAGTTGGTTTAGGTAAAAGCGACTATCTGCGTAGGTTTGGATAACCATGTGGTTTTGGAAATCCATCAATAACAGGTATGGTAAACATCGTGGTGCATGAATCCACAGATAATCAGAAAGACCAACTTGAAGCGTTGTACAAAAATGTTTCGGTTCAGTTCACTACACTTCACAATAGTACAAAGAGAAAAAGTGAATATAGGTTGGCAACAAAGGAAAGGAAAAGGATATAAAGAGTCTAAAAAATAAATAAGTAAATAAAGGTTAATATGAATGTTCTGAATTCAGAAATGAGTAAACTTGTAACTCTTAACTTGGTTCTGTTTTTTACTTGTTCACTTCTGGTCCTAAAATTCTCTTATGCTAGCTTGTTTGAAGTCACTAGTCGTCAGTGATTACGTGATAAAATATCTTCTGCTTCAGTTTACTTCTGCACATCCACTCTCGCTCCATTATCATACCCATCTTTAAGAAGGGCCTACATAATGTATGTAATGATCATTAGGGTATTATTTCAAGTTGTTATTCATCGTAGACTGACATCAGTTGGAGGAACAAAAGAAACCTGGGAGCACTGGTGCTCATTGGTGACTAGCTTGGAGAAGTATTCGCGAAGTTCCAATGAGAAGTCGTGTCCGGTGGAGTCAAAGCCTGATGGCCGTGAGGACAGATGCTCAACGATGACATTGGGTGGCGGTTGCGCTATATCGTGAGCTAACAGAAGTTGGAAATATGGAGCATTGGATTCTGACCCAGTGGCTGAATGGTAACGCGCTGGCCGCGGGACCTGAAAGTCGCGGGTCCGATCCCTGGCGGGGTTGTGGGTGTGCACCGCTGAGGAGTCCCATGCTAGGACGGAAAAGTCGTTCAGTGCTCCCAGGTTTCCTTTGTTCCTTCAACTGATGTCAGTCTACGGTGAATAACAACTTCAAATATTTCCAAATCTCCACAACTTCCTCAAAAAAAAATTCAATTAGGGTATTAGTCTGCTACCGGTAGCATCTGAAGTGTTGACTGTTATCATGCTTTCCGGGTTATGCGAAATGCCTGAGAAACTGGTGAATCAGGAGCATGTCGGGATTTGCTCAAGTCACTAACACATAGATCACCTACTCACCCTCCGCCAGATTTTCGAACACTGTCACGTGTACTGCAGATCAACACTCGTTGTGTTCCTCGATTTTAGGACTGTCTTTGATTCATTGGACAGGGTTATACTCTGGAATTGTCTTTTAGAGATGAGGTGTTCGTCGGACGTTTGTCAACACCCTGAGTGTCCTATTTCTCAGGCAGAGTGTAGGCATACAAGAGCCTATCTTCATCGTTCCGAATCATCATCACGATCAACATAGGACCAGGCATTATTAGGTAACGGTCCGACTTGTTATACACATCAGCACATCAAGTAACAAGGCAATCAAATGGAAGATGAAGAAGGTAAGGAAAATCGGTCAAAAGGAGTAGAAACTGGTTAAAGAGAGAAGGGAGGAATGAGAAAATGATAGCGGTTAAGATGATGGACAATGTGTGGATACATCTGCACCACTAACATTCATTCTCAGCCATATCACTCAGTCTCCAATCACTGGTTTCTCTTGTCCTGAGGACCCCAATTGAGTAGTCTGCATCACCCTACATGGATCAAGTGAACAATCAAGAACTTCATCTATTGGTACATACCCCAGCTTGAACCTACTTCGGCCAAGATTGTGCAACGAGGTAGACAGTGGGTAGGTATACGTAACTCATATCCCAGGCAGCTATCTCAGTCAATGAAGGTTCACAACCGCACCAAATATCTTACCTCTCCTCCCTAAGACTACATCTGACTTTTGCGTTACTCACGTGGTGACACTACGTAACATGGGCTATTTCATGAAGGCAACGGTAGTCAAACACCTGAAGCCTTCTCGTGTCTTCTACCTTTATGGACCATGTTTCACAGTCATACAGTAGGACATAGCGGACTGCAGCCCATTAAACTCGCCCCTAATCAGATATCGCGGCGGCGCCACAGATGGCGTAAGTTGGCAAAAGCCACAATGCAGGGTTAAGGAGGGTTGTCTAATTTCATCATTCTCTTTTGACTTTAACATTGATGCCATTCTACAAAGAACCCTGAAGGAAGTACGTTGTGAAAATGTAGACCTATTAGCAAGTGAAGGAATTATCGATCTTCAGTATGAAAACGATGTCGTATAAGTGTACTGCAACATGCAAGCTGCTTAAATCACACTCAATTTGTCAGCGATCAGTGTCCGTAAGTATGGCATATGCTAAGTGCTTCTGAAAGGTTGGCATAAGTCTATACGTGCGCACTCTTGGTGTTGAATCGTGGGAAGTTCTCGAGAATTTCCTATACCTGAGTAATTGTATGAGTTCTCACATAACTTTATTCAAAAAGGTCAACCGCGTAAGCTCTCACAATGTAAGCTTCTTTTGTTTAAGATTCAAAATTCGTTGTTAAATTCCTTGGTAATTATTAAAGATGTTTTCATTGCATTATAAAATTTTGTCACTCACTTGGTGTTCTGTCAACTCTTACCTTAACGAGGAATTTTTGAGTGCAAAACTAGGTGGATTCAGTATTTCATAAAAAAGCATTTGACTGTCCTATTTTTTGATTGTTACTGCATGGAGTACTCATTACCTTCATTTTAAAAGGTAGAAAGAATAAGAGCTTATTGCTCTTGGAATGGTTATTTCAATAATCTGTTTCACTGAGTAAACCATGTTAGGTCGATCATTTTACATCTAGCATCGAAATACAGTGTAGTGCAGTGTTGCGTCACCTATATGTATATGAGTCATGTAGCTTAGTAACCACATTACAGAAGTGATCAGTAGACCGGCTAGATTCGAGCTTAATATGTCTCTAGGTACACCATTAGATATTCTCATCTGCATATTAAGTAAGCCGATAACCTGTTGTTTTAACCACTGATAATGTGACTAACGAAACGTGCCGCAAATGATTGGTATTTTCTAATTACTAATATGTTTCACCGGTGCTCATTGTTGATCTCTATGCATGTAATACTTTTTTTCTAACCATAGCTTCGGGAGATATAACGATAAATGATGCAAATAACCAAAACGATCATGATCAGAATACAGTTCGAACTTATCCACCCGGTGCAAGAACACGTCAGATACTTATTGGAGATCATCTAGTCAAAATTAATTATTGTCATAGTTGTCGATTTTTTCGTCCTCCTAGGGCGTCACATTGTTCTTCATGTGATAACTGTGTGGGTAAGTTAATTGTTTAGTTTACGAATTTGCACTTTTTGCCCTACATACTGCTATTTATTGAAGGTTACCAAGTATATATATATATATATATATATATATATATATATATATATATATATATATATATATATAGGGGTAGTATTCATCGCGGACTGATCAGATGGAGGACCATTGAAAACCTGGGGGAACTGGACAGATGTTTCGTCCTAGGGTGGGACTCCTCAGCAGTACGCACCCACGACCCAGTCTATAATGAATACGACCTCAAAATTAAAATCCTCATTGCGTCAAAATACATTACTACATAGTGCTCATTAGTGACATGATTCCAGATGGATATCCTGAAGTTCTTACGGGAAGCCGTGACCTATCGGATCAATCAGTCGGACGGGAAGTGCATGCCAACTAAAGACCTTGGGTAATAATCGCGCTATATCGCGAGTTGACAGAAGGTGGAAACTGTTAGCCATTAACTTCTTACTCATTGGCTGAAGAGTTAACGCGTTCCCCGTGAAATCTGAAGGTCCTGAGTTTGATCCACGACGAGGCGGGGTCGTGGGTGCGTACCACTAGGATGAAACAGCTGTCCAGTACTTCGAGGTTTTCAATGGTTCTGCAACTGATAACAATCCGTAGTCAACACTGCCTCAAAATCAAAATCTTTACTGACCTTATATATATATATATATATATATATATATATATATATATATGATGTAAACCGGTCAGAATTTCTCTGTCACCTCCGCTATATAATGGGATAAATCGTCGTAGTTTAGAAAGACTAAACGGTGATCCGTAGTTTTCAATTTTGTGTATTACAGCCCGTTCTGTTAAATGAAATAATAATAGGAGTTGCGTTAACTCAGTCGACAAGCAGCTATGCACCTATTTGATGTTCTGACTGCTAATTACCTCACCTATCTCCAATTTCATGTGAACTCGTGGTTCCGCTAAGCTTTGGATCTGCTTCCTCGCTACTTTAACTTCATGAAGTGCTACTGTTTACCAGTTTGGATTGTGATAGTTTCGTTTTGTGATTGAATCACCAATACAAATATGTAGGTTAAGAATTTGAAGGTTCCTTATCAGATCGTGGACGTGACTTATTGATTACCATCAGCTAGTAATTAAAACTGAATTCGTTTCTCTATGTAAATTGCTGTTAGACAACCCTCTAGGCGGGTATGATTTAGTGTAGTATCGATTTATTTAAAGTCTATGGACTGTATCACGTTTCTTTAATTGATACACTGTTTGATCAATAACCTGGGTATCAGTAAAAGTGCTAAGAAATAAGCAACACTATCGTAATATGAAGTAATCTGTAAGTTGTTGGTCGAGTTCCCTATTCAGTTAAATAGCAATCGAAGAATCACTAGGCAACGTGAAAGCGATAGATACGTACTTTATGTAACAGCTTGAGGTTACAATAAGCACATTTCAAGTTGCTACTCATCATGGACTCACATCAGTCAGAGAAACATTAGAAGCCTGGAAGCGCTGGACATCTGTTTCGTCCTAGTATGGAACTCCTCAGCAGTGCGCAACCATGACCCAGCCAGTGGTCGAACCCAGGATTTTCGTGTTCCACGAATAGTAGGTTGCCATTGAGCCACTGCATTGGAATCCAATGGTCTATATCTTTTACTGCTATCAGTTCACGATATGTTGGAACCATCAACCAATGTCATCGTTGAGTATTTGTCCTCCCGTGCATACCCCACCGGTCACGACTTCTTACCGGAACTTCAGGAATCACCTCTCGAAGCCAATCATCAGTGAGCACTAGATTTAATTTGGGTTCGATCCCTGACGGGATCATGGTTGCGCACCGCTGAGAAGTTTCATACTGGGAGGAAATAGCTTCCCAGTGCTCCCACGTTTTCAATGTTTATCCAACTAATATCAGTTCATGATGAATATCAACTTGAAATCAATAAATCTCCACAAAAATCCCCAAATAACCACACTACTTTTTAAGTTACTCGGAATAACTTCAACGGTCAGTATTTCAATTTCGGATAGGTGATTAGTTCTTAAGAAAATCAACTTCTTCAAGCAGAACATAAAACAGTGGCAAAGTGCAACCTTAGCAAGTACATGTTTTCACTACCGCACTATCATAATGTGCTGTTGGATTTACCAGCCAATTGAAGAAGACAGGACTATGATCAGTCTTTGTTTTTGTACAGTGGAACGCAGTGAACCGTCTTCATGTCTTTGTATTGAGGTTTTCTGTACGAAAGATAGCTTTCTCCTTTCTTATTTTTTGGAAGCTGTAATCGCTTATCTCTGTACGAGGGTAAAGAAGTGTTGTCAGAATGATAAAGCTACCAAATAAAATCCCAGCCTCTAAAAGTCGAATTAGTGATCAACCTAACTGCCTTTCACTTCAACAACAAGTGAACATAATATCAAAAGATAAAACCAGCTCCTAGCCTTAAAACTAGGACGTGTTCCGTGTTGTATTTCAAGCCAAAATTATCTGTGTTGTTCGACTGAATGATATAGCTAAATATGTGTGGCTTCAGTACGTTCACACCCGAATTCAGGGTTGAGGATATGACGGTCAATAATTTCTGGAGGAATGTAATGTACGTTAACAGAAATATGTACCGACATAGTTGAATACTAGAGTGTTCGAAGAGAAAAGCAGATTCTCTACGGAAGGCATGAATATTATCTCTTCAAAGTGGTTGTGCAACGAGTTTATGGTGGTGGTTATCGAAGTTATTCATCATTAGAGGCTTCTACTAATCCACATTTGTATGCTGTTTGGCTTGATACCAACCATTATAACTACAGTGGGATAAATATAAACTGCTTGTCTGTAAATAAGATGTTTTTGGACTTACCGACAATCTGACTATAATTTCATTGGATTATTTTTACATTTAGGTGTCTATTTCTCCATTTAAGATTATTTCATCTACTAATAAATTCGTTTTCTAAACGAAAATACATACGGATAATATTTCATCATGCATCTGTCTAAGGAAAATACAGTTAACGAATGTGATACTTTTTTCATAACACACTGAAATCTTTCAAAGATAAATAGTATTCACCTTTCTTTGATGTTGTGTGGACCATAAAGGTCATCTATAGTGTATGATAAATTATCTTAGTTTCAACTAAACATCACGAAAACATTGTTTCACTCCAAAAGACTATTCATCATTGATGTCAATTGTCTTATAAGGCTACCCTACTCAATTCAATAACAGTATACTTCGAAAATTATCTCAGCATTAAAAACACATTAAAACTTTCAAGTGAACAGGAGAAATATTCTTTTATCTAAATCCCTTCTCACATTCTACAGATGTAAATCTCTATTTTCAGGAATAACTTACATTGAAAACTGAGAAATCTTTATGTAATAGTTATTTTATTATCTATCTCTCCCTTGGGTTCCTAGTGGAACATAGGGCTTCAGTAGCACGTCGCCACTTCACTCTCTTCTCTGCAGTCTTCTTAACCTGGCTCGAAGACTGTTCATAGGCTTTCATTTCTTCCTCCCTCACCTCGAACGCCCAACTCGTTGTTTCCCATTTGAGTTCCACTCAACGGCCTGACCTTGCCTGACACGTGATGTCCCCAAACGGTCTTCTCAGTGTATGTCTAATCCAATCAAATCTATCTCCACTTTCTTGTGCATATTTGTCGAGTGATAGGTTGTTGGTTGGTTCTTTGCCAGCCACAATGAGTTCCTTGTTGCTTATTCTTATTATTCTGGCCATGTGAACTGATCTTGGTTGTGGAGTGAGCGTAGGCGGCAGGAATTGATGTATGTATGCAGTTTGTTGGGAATGGTTTTTGTGACGCGCCAAGTCTGTGAACCATCACATAGAAGCAGTGAGTTGACTGAGTTAGTGTTGAAAATGCGGATGTTGTTCAGGGTTTATGCTGAGTGCATTTGAGTGTAGTGCAGTCCAGTAGATTTGCACACTGATTGCAGATTAATGAGGGCCTGTCTTGTTGTCTTTCTGGTTGCGTCTTTGACATGGTCATGTGTGCGTGTGCGACCTGTAGTTGGAACGATGCTGTCTAGGTAGGGAGGTAGGTGAAAGAGACTACTTCCTTTAGGTTTCTCCAGTTAATGGTGATTGATGCTTGTTGTGGATGCTGTTGTTGGTTGAGTATCTCCATCACCTCTGTCTTCTCTGTATTCACCTGAAGTCCTGTCTTCGCTGCCTTGCCTCTTCTGTCAACTTGTTGGTTTTTGCCTGTATATCTTCGAGTTTATGGGACACGACATTAGACATAAATCATCGTCGGCGGCATCCAAATCTTCTAGGGTTTTCTTCATCAGTCAAACAGCGTATGCTCCTCTTCTCGCTTCTCACAGTTTATTGCATGATCCATTTGAGTCGACCACAATCAGGAAGATCATAGGTGATTATAGGTAACTTTGTCGTACTCCTGTCTTCACTTCAAAGGGATCATTGAGCTTTCTACTGTGAGTCACCTGGCATGTAGCATCATATAGCATATAGCTGCTGTTAAATGCGGTTGATAAAGGTTTGTAGCATTAAAACCGTAGTGTTGAAGCAGTTTCCAAATTACGTCTCGGTCGACGCTATCGACGGCATTTTTATGGTGGATGAAGTTGAGGTAAAATAGTTGACTGACATTCTGTTCTCTGTTCTATGATGATGCTTATGTAAGAGCGGATGGTCGAAATTGACTAATCAAGAAAGCCTCATAAGGAGAGACATTTTTATGAGCGATAGTTATTATGCATATCTATTCAAAAGTAATACCTAACCTATATGATAATCTGTTTAGTTGTTCACGTATCTATTCATAACGTGTGCATATATGTGCGCACTAGTTGTACTCAAACTCATTTTGAACTTTGTTCTGTAAGTGTTCCTATTTTGTAGTAGGAGTCATAATCAGTGCAACGTTGTATCTACATCTTGTCAGTTACAGCACAACTCAGTACAGGTCTGTATACTAGGTTATAGATAGACTCAACTTATTGGTTAAGAGCTTATGACACAAATTCGATTGCTCAGGCTGAAGAAGGTGTACCTAGATTTCAGCCGTATGATGGTTACTAATTGAAAACTATGTTTCGAAGTCTATAAGCCACCTTCCCACTGTATATCGGTTGGATAATTTTCTGCATACTACTAGGCTGTTTTCACTTTCTACTAGTAATAGTGAATATCATTATACAAGTTCTCATCATCCATTTTTATTTTAATTTCTTTCTATTTCTTTTTCCTTTTTCTGCATCTCATCGTTGTAGAACGTTTCGATCATCATTGTCCATGGATTGGAAATTGTGTTGGCCAAAGAAACTATCGTTATTTTATATTATTCATCTATTCTCTGAGTATTTATTGTCTTTATATTTTAGTATTTGCTGTAGTCAATCTAGTTTTGTGTAAGTCATTTATACCTGCCTATCACTGAGTTTTATTATTGATTTCTTTTAATAACCTGTTGTTAGATTGTCAGAATGAAGTAAGGGATCAGGGATTGTAAGATCTGTGTATAAGGTACTTCTTAGGACACTGTAATATTGTTGCTATATTTAACTTTCGTGAGATTCTTGGGGCATATCTTATCCTATATGCATATCAACAGTGATTGTTGAACATTTTTCATGATATACTTTTTCTTTAGTCTTCATCTGTGACTTCAGACTTTTCTCTCTTAGTTTTAGTCCATCTTCAACCTTTCATTTTCATTCTTGATGGATTTCACTACCTGGAATCTTGCTGATGTTAATTTTTTTTGACATCTTTTATTGACCTGTAGTTGTGGTTCAGGTTTTACATTGTTTTTTTCTGTTGGCGTTTCCACCTGTCTGTCGGGTGTTTGAATTGATGGATACTAAGGAAGCAACGACTGACTGAGATTCAGAAAAGTCCAGCTTAAGAGAAAGATATCATTGAAACATTTCTTCACAACCATCTTGATCCCCGTAACATTTGTCTTTGGTGATTTGATTTACATTCGGGAGAAAAATAACACAATTAATTCAATCAACTAACTTCTCTATTCCTCATTATGTTTTGTCACTAACCATTCTTTTGTGATCTTTTAGTGATGGGATGAATCCTTTTTTACTTTTAAAGACATTAAGCTTATCTTCTTTATAAGACAATCCCTATTGTGCACAAGCATAAAGGTGAATGTCGAATGCACTTTTATTTTGGTGAATATGGTACATACTCAGCCACAATTCACGTCAACGCGTTATGTTGGCTGAAGTAGGACTAGTTTTCTAAAAGCTTTGGGTTGTCTCAGCCCACAAGTTCTTTAGTTGTTGACCTGAACCATGTAAACTTCCAGAGAGAGGTCGTCGAGATGACCGAAACCGATATTTGGCTGAGAATCAGTTATGATAGTGTAGATGTATTCATACCCTACTTTTATCTTGACCGTCCTATCACATTTCCGTATTTTTTTAATGCCCCACCGCCCTGTTTTTTTCGTTCTATGGCTTCTGAAGACTTCGACTATGCGATTCCCTTTTCTTGTTTTTCTTTTTGTTGTCTTGCATCTTGATGTGCTGATACGAGGTATGGCAATTTGGACCGTCACTTATTAGTGTCGGACAACTTGTTGATATTGAGCGATTGCATATGGAATGATTACCGTGACTTGACCATGTTTCGGGAGTTGAAGTAGAAAGGTTGGTGATTCATTCGTAGTCTGGTCAAATCTGTAGAAATCTGTGTCAAAGATTCGACGAGTTAATTAAACAGAAAAATGATGGTTATCGTTCGACCTTTTGTTATTTTTATTTATATATTGCAACATCTGTTACAATTAGGTATTTAGTTCTCAATACAAACAAGTCGTTAGCTCCATTGTCTTCAACAATGTGCTTATAGTTGTATTGATTACTCTCAAACTTTCGCTCAATTGTAGTTAAGTCCAAGAGAAAAAGAGTAAAGATTAGAAAATGACAACAAAATTGCATTTCTATAAGCCTGCAAAAATTATCCAGTCGATTTTTTTTCGATCAATCTTACCGAATTTCTCAGTATGATGCATACAAAATAATAGGACCAACACCGTTTCCTCTGAAACATATGTTTGATGGAATCTGTTGTGACCGAGTGGTGGTTGCGTGCGTGGGTATAATGATACTGAGACTCAATAGACACCTCAGCCGAAAACCTTTACGACTGACCCCCTTCAGTATCCTCTGCTTCACTGAGCCGTGTAAAATCAGAAGACAGACGACCTGTGACTGCAAGAACAACGACGACCTTTTATTTGGCAAATACATGACATATATGTATTTACAAAACTCTTAGAAAGTGAAGCGATAAATGAACCAATCAGGTTTCATGTATTAGGTCGAATTTTTCCAACCAGGTTCCCAGGTCAGCGCATGCATAAATCATGACCTGAACATGATCTGATCATGACTTGAAAACAACTCCCCTATTGGCTGCCTTTTGTCGCTACATATCAGAATCAGACTAGAATACGGCGGCATTCTTCTGCGACACTGTTGCTTATTATTACTCTGAGTCCTATCGAGTTTTATATGACTGTCTTGTACAAAGTCATGTGTTGTTCACCTCGTTTATGCTTCTTTCTGTTACATAGGTTGGTGCATCCTTATATTTACTTCTAATTTCTTTCTGTCTTCGGCAAAAATCATATGGGTTTTGATAAATTGTGAGACTACTGGAAGACTGTAGTATCGTTCAAAGTAATGACTTTCTTAGTTTCTCTATAGGAATAGCTTGAGTACACGTTTGAAATGCAATGCCAACGCATTGCTATGCACCATAAGCATTTAGTGAAGAAGCGGAAACAGAGCCATTAATCTAGTGTATAGTTAAGTAATTATAATAAGACAAACAGTATGTTGTTGGGTGAATAATGCAACCAGCAGGAAAAAAGTTGGCAAAGGATATCTAAACTATCTAAAGGAAACCAACTCAGTATTCTCGCGTCAAAGCGCTTCCTTGACTGACGGAGCGTTGGTTCTTCGGTTCGCCACAGTGTAGTCTACTTGATGGCTAAAGTGGGATCCAGGATACGCGTTTCGTCCTATTTGAGACTCGTCAGCTAAACGTACCTGCCTCCCAGTGAGTGATGTTGTTCCCACTGGGATTCGAACCCGAGACCGATCGCTTCAATTGCCAGAGTGTTATCCACTGGGTCATGAAAGCTACCACAATTTGCATTAGTACGATTACAGAAATTGTATAAAAAGGAATCAATATGAAAACGGATGAGGTAGATGAAAATTTAGAGGAGTTATAATACCAGCAACTATTGCTCCTTCGTACAGTCACTTGACTTTCAATTAGACAGTTGGGAGTCTTATCCTTCTTCTACTTACTGAGGTCTGTGCATCTAGACAGTATCATCAGTTGCTATGGAATAGGTGTGCTTCACTACCTAACGTACAAACCTGTACTTGATTGATGAGTTACATCACACACATTCGGTAACAGTATTCGATTGAGACACAGATATCATGCACTAAAGATGGATCATGATATGGATTATCATCTAATGATTGATCCGTGTTCTCAATAAATTAGTCACTTGAGCACTTGAGAAGCATAATCTCGTATCACAGTAATGGACAGTGTGATTTAAACGTTTTGGAAAGGTTTTACTTTATTTGTATTTCCACAACCATAGTAAAGTTTAAATCAAGCAAGGATTCTTTCCTAGTGAATTCAACCATTGAACAACGATTAAAGTCCAAGAGTATGTTCATTTATTTAAATTGATAATCGTCTTGTATTCCATGCTTGATATATTTCAACGAATATTGGAGACCAAAGCATATGTGTTTCTTTATTCAATAAAATCTAAGTACAATATGGACACCAAAAATGCGTCATACAAAATACTGACAACACTATGAAGACATGAAGAGAAGATAAAAAACAGTGAACTAATCAAAGAAGAAGTAATAAGATAAGATGCAAACAGCTTACATTGATTTTTTTTGGTAATTCTTAAAACTAACTAACGTGATTATCATTCGTTCCGGTCCTAAACCATATCTGATAGCATTATCTCTTGACCACCAATCAAGGAGTTATGATTCTTCCCACTATGCTACCTTATAAACTGAATGTCATCAGAACATGAGTTTCTTATCTATGTGCATCTTGAAGATCACACATCAGTTGAGTATTTCGACAACTATATACTTCTTAGTGGTTGACATCTGTTCAATTCTCGTGTATTACTTTGAAACATCCCGAAGTGAGTACAAGTCGTCTTTTTTTCTTTAAATCAATGACAATCAAGAGGTGTTTGTCGTAACTCAACAGCTGCCTGTGTGATAATCTTACTGTTTGGAAAGAATGGGTACTTCATTCATTACCCAATGAAAATATCATATCTTCTAGAACTTTGTTTTATCAATGCAACTAGTAAAATTCCCAAAAGAGAAAGAAATATTTATTCTGTCTTATAGGTTAGGATTCAGTACATTTTCCCAATAATCTTCCGCTCTTCAGGCCGTGGCTAGAACAACTCATTGGTAACTTTGCTGACCACAACACTTGGTGACACGGGTTCGAATCTCACAGTGGACATCAGCCCCCTCGAGGTTGGAGATACCTTACTGATGAGTACCAACAGGTACGAAGCCCAGGTCTGGGGTTGGCTACCGATCGCCTTCAATCAACTAATATCCATTGAAGTGAACCTTCTAGCTTTGTGGCCACATTTTAAAATAGTCGGTAGAATTCAGTCAGCACTCGGAAATCCACAACGTAAAATTAGTTGCTTTCCAGTGACTAGTCAGCGTATTTATGATTATTGCCTTGCATGTGAATACTTTTAACTGCTAACTTGGTGCTGTAAAGTTTATTTATTTCTTTTTCCCTTTCTCTGTTGGTGTTCGTAAATCAACCCTTGGCATCACATATGTGTATATCACCTAATGGGGACAGTATACAAAAAGTATGAAGATTTTATAGTGGCTATCAAGATTTCACCTGCTTCATATCCTTTTCAGCGTGTAGTTTACTGTTTTTTTCTTTTCGTGTTTACCTTGTATCGTTTCTTGTCTATTTGCTCGTTTGCGTTTCTACCCTAGCCTTTCATCAGTTTTTGAGGTTAATAGAGAAATACCTGATTGTATATCAACATTTGGTCGAGGTTCTTAAGGTCAGTTGATGTAATCTCATCCAGTGTTTCCACAGAAGCATATGCGTGTATTTGGGAATCCAGTCCCAAAAAGAGTGTTCTTGCTATTTAAAACTTCCCAATTGTATGATAGGTCAAGTTAGCTGTCGAGTAATACCTGGGCTTCAGTTTCTCATAATCACTGATGTAGAATAATCGAACTGGTTGTAGTTGTCCTTCAACTTTATTATCCTTACCAAGCCAAGAAAATCTACGGGACTATCGAATTTCACTCCATGACTAGTTAGACAAACATATATCTGAGAAAATGTAGGGCATTTCATGCTAGAACTGTACCGCTTCAAACTCCCACACTTTGAAGTTCTACAGTGTGATAAGAGAACTCATCAATCAAAACAAAACGTGACAAACAAGGAATTTTATACAACACAGAACAAGATGAAAAGTTCGCCTGTAATAATTATTAGTTATACCGATTCAAGTCAAAAACAGGATAGTCCGTTAACTGCATAAATTACAGCTAGAATAAAGCGAATCCGTGATAGCTAGTGAAATAAAGTGACTCCAGAGTTGAATACGTGAAGAAACTCAACAAAGTAATAGATAGGCGACTTGATAACACTTATTTGTTGTCACGATCTGGTTGGAAATGATCGTTATTATCATTATTTGTCTCTTGGGTTCCTAGTGGAACATAGGGCTTCAGTAGCACGTCGCCACTTCACTCTCTTCTCTGCAGTCTTCTTAACCTGGCTCGAAGACTGCTCATAGGCTTTCATTTCTTCCTCCCTCACACAATCTCCTCCATGTCACCCTCACCTCGAACGCCCAACTCGTTGTTTCCCATTTGAGTTCCACTCGACGGCCTGACCTTGCCTGACACGTGATGTCCCCAAACGGTCTTCTCAGTGTATGTCTAATCCAATCAAATCTATCTCCACTTTCTTGTGCATATTTGTCGAGTGATAGGTTGTTGGTTGGTTCTTTGCCAGCCACAATGAGTTCCTTGTTGCTTATTCTTATTATTCTGGCCATGTGAACTGATCTTGGTTGTGGAGTGAGCGTAGGCGGCAGGAATTGATGTATGTATGCAGTTTGTTGGGAATGGTTTTTGTGACGCGCCAAGTCTGTGAACCATCACATAGAAGCAGTGAGTTGACTGAGTTAGTGTTGAAAATGCGGATGTTGTTCAGGGTTTATGCTGAGTGCATTTGAGTGTAGTGCAGTCCAGTAGATTTGCACACTGATTGCAGATTAATGAGGGCCTGTCTTGTTGTCTTTCTGGTTGCGTCTTTGACATGGTCATGTGTGCGTGTGCGACCTGTAGTTGGAACGATGCTGTCTAGGTAGGGAGGTAGGTGAGAAAGATGACTTCTTTTAGATTTCTCCCGTTGATAGTGATTGGGAACTGAAACACCTACAAAAACCAGAAAGCACAAAGTATTTACCCCATTATTATTATGTGTAATCTGAAAAACGAAATTATATTAATTTTGGTGACTGCCAGAGAAATCTAGTACGCACGTCTGGTCTTATTTTGGACTCGTCAGCTGCATGTACCTGCGATCCAGTGAGTGGTGTTTCCCCACTTGGACTGTAACCCATCACTCATAGACTCAAACGCCAGAGCGTTATCCACAGAGCCACCGGGGCACGATATCCGAGAAGGGTCGAGGAATTCGGCCCTGTTTAGCAACGAGGAATTACAAGTATCATAGCAACAATTGAAAAACGACAGTTTAACTCAGACCCCATAACGGAATATTAGTCACAAAACAGGAATGTCTTAGATTTGATGCTGCACTTGGTATGAAGTATGAAATCGTTAGTGACCATAACTGATTTTTGATTAGATATGTAAGGTATATTGTTTTGGAGCTATGCTTCAGCCGCTGGTTTACTACATGTTAAAAGCCTGCTCTACCTTCAGATGTTAGGTGTAATCCACTGGCATATACATGAATCTGTGTTTAATAAGTAAAAGTCACTCATATGATGCGGTCATGTTAAACAATCAATTTAGTGACAGTATTGTCAATTTCCTATCAGAATAATTTATATCAGTGTTTATGTGTTTTCATTAACTTATTGACTTAAAAATTCCTTAACTAAATTATAACTAAATTTAATGATTGGATTATTATCAATCTTGTCATTGAATTTTGAATGGATGGAATTTTAATTGTAAATGCTGAATTTATTTAATTTTCAATCAAACAATAATTGAGATATTGATCTCTTTCTCTGCAATGTGGACAGTATTCGGTTTATCAGGTTATCATACATCTTTGATTTGCCGGGGATTTTCAACGCATGAAGATGTAAGTGTATATTGTTATCCAGTTTATGCATACTTTTCAACAGGTTGTTTTGTATCAGTTTTTTTTTCTCTGTATCTCTCTATACCTTTATTGAGGAATTTATGGTATGATGGTCTGTTAGACACTCATTGGTTCAATTCCTACTCTTTGAACGGGTAATATCATCAGCTCTTGTTCGATAGTTTATGAACTCATACTTGGTTGGTGAATTGCATTTGTAGATGTGTTTCTAAGTAGTTCAAGTAGTCAGCTGTGAAAACAGCGTTGTTAGCCCCAATCCACTTTATTCTAGCTTAGTAGTTGAATATCAAAGTTCTTTCAAGTATAACGGACCAAACTCCATCGTATAGTGCAATAATGTGTACATGTTTATTTAGTTACATCTATCTTGTATACAAGTGTAACTTGTTGAAATAATGATTTTGGAGTCAGTTGGTTCAATGACTGTATTTTCTAAGTGTTCAACTTGTTTACTAGGGTAAAATGTAATTCCATATTAGAGTTGTTTATTCGATATAGCACACAGTGATATAGTATCATTTACTTGACGTTCTACGCATAAATTATTCCTGATAATCATAATCATAATTAGAGTGGCATTTAAACCTACAAATTCACTCATAGATAAGCTTTTATCGGTTTAAGGATCCGATAGATGTTTCATCAACTGATTTGTTTCGGATATATACTACGCCTGCCAGTCTATCACCACTTAGCGATGAGGTTTTCGAAGGCTATTAGTCAATAAGTGATGAATGATGATAGTAATTATGATATTTTGTTCTTTGGTTCAGTATTTTTCTGCAAATGCTGATAGTACAACTTTTATCCACGTCCTAACATCTCTGTTGTTTCATATTCCTCACAATAACTTGGTATACTCTACGATTGAAACCTCAAACGTTTTGGTACACATTGTAACCCAGTGTCTACCTGTTTACGCCATGTTAACTGAAGTAGACGAAAGATGAGTGGTCTTATTTAAGTCGGAAATGTGATACAGACCCTTAAAGTGTCTGACTGTTGGGTTGAGCTATATATAGTTCTTGATGATAGTGCTGTAGTTGTTTGTAACCGATAGTTGGAAGCTGGCTAGTGATTGGAAGAACGTAAATAAGGAGGAATTGAAAGGTATGAAGAAAGCGTTAATTATTATTGTGTGGTGTTTATTAGGAAATTTGTCCGGAAGTGAAATAATCACAGTAATGTGAATACGACTAATAGCGACAATACGAGTAGAAAAGAGTTCATAGCCTCTATTGTGTTACCGATATGAGGAAGTGACAGTAGAAAGTTTACGAAGGATTTTCAGCGAAGCTGGAATTAGGATGGGATTTAAACCTACAAACTCACTCAGAGATGATAACCTTTGTCGGCTTAAGGATCTGATGGAACCAATGGGCAAAATAATCTAATGTGTCAAATTGCATGGAATAACTATGAGGTGAAGCATGTAGGTCTAACTAGGCGATCGAGATGAGTTAGATTATCGAAACTCAGGAATTTAGCAAATTATAGAATGCGAGAGGCGAATGTGACCAAAATATAATTTCGATAAACAGTACTTGGTTATTGCAATGTATGCATTAACACACAACCACACAATAGGGTGAGATGAAACCACTGTAATTAAGTTCAATATAATTAGGTGGAGGGGAAGATTGCTGATTGAATCCTTGTTTACCGAACCAGCATGCAACATGAGTAATAGGGATGACGCAACACCTATTCCAGAGATATGGAAGACTTTATTACTATTGATAACAAATAATATGAGATGATCGGACTACAAAATTCGATTGTTGACAGTGGTGTGATTACATTGATATGATTATGAGTGATAATAATTTATGCTCGGAACGTCATCAAATAAATAATACTGTATCAGTATGTGCTATACCGAACAAATAAATCTAAAGTAGGATTACTTTATTCTCTACCAACTGCAGTTTCTTCAGCCAGTTTCGTTGTTTGCTTTGAGATAAAATAATAATGATAATAATAATTCACTTTATTCCAAACAATTTGTGGTACGGTTTGGAATTCTCAGCATGATATACTGCAACAACAACAAAGTTTATGTATATTTATAATCCTCTACAACATTTCGAATTGCGGTATGATAAAAATTTAAGTAATGTGAAGAATAATAGTAACGAGAAAACTTTATTAATTAAATTATTGAAATGAAATCGTTAACTGTTGCAAATTTTATATGTGAGTTCTGCTCTAACATCCTTTTTTTTACTCACACAATATGCGTGCTAGATAAGGTACAGTCAAATTCTTGTACGAAGCTGTACGAGCGTACAGTTTTATGTATTTTCTTCTTGTCCTCCCTGAGGATAGAGCTGTGAATAAAGTGATGCTCAGTATCGGTTAAAATTACTGTAGCTAGTTACTCGCAAGAATTCAAATGTCTATCGACTACAGTGTTAAGCAGTTGGGTCGGAGGCACATCACCCTACTGACCGCTTTTAAATCCCCTTTTTTAGAAGACCAGTAGAGATCAACGGAAACATTAGAGAAGATTAGGTAAAATGCAAGAATTAATAAATCATAAAAGTACACCAGAGAGCCTTAGTTTCTTTATGTAATACGTTAAACGAAAGATTCTTTTACAAGTCAACAAGATATGAGACAACCAACAAAAATCATAAGTAACACTCAACCAAAGATAGTTAACACTCGATTTATTTTCTGCAGAAATACCATCAGGCAACAGGCATCATGAGACTTAAGCAGTTTACACAAATCTTGTTTACGCCTGAGGCCCTCAATTAACAGTCTGACATTTGGAAGAGTTTCACTTAAAACCACTGGTCAATAAGAGACAATAATCCGTTAAACTCAGAGCAATCTAAATGAGAGTTGACTGGAATAGACACCGTCAGGTCATCAGCATAACTTAATAAAAGTAGTTTCAACAGAATGAGGTAAATCGTACAAAAAGAACGAAAACAGAAAAGGAGAAAGTACAGCACCTTGATGTACACCAGTTTCAGTAAGCAATAGGGTGGAGCGCTTCCCTTTATAGACAGTATACTGTTTCCTTTCAGAAAAATAAGAATAGAGCAAGTCTGTAACCCATGACTCAGTGTGAGCTATGGCAAGCTTAGTTAACAGGAGTGTTCTAGGAACAGAGTCAAAGACTGATGAATAATCCAAAAAGGCACATCGAACATACCTAACACCTTAGTCTAGACTAGAAATAATGTTATGATGCAAGACGGTGGCAGCATCTAAAGTACTTCTCTTGTGTTTGTAAGCAAACTGTTTTGGATCTCTGAAAGCCATCAATGAAGGCTCGAGCAAAAGGAGAAGTAATTTCTCCATTGTCTTCAAAAAAGGGGAAGTTATAACGATGAGATCTAAAAGTAGCATCTGATCGAGAAGATGACTTAGGCACAGGTACAACTGTGATCTCCTTCCAAGCAGCGGGTATTGTGTTCTTAGAAAACAACGCATTGAAGATATCTGTAAGGGGATGACATAAAATATCTGCACATTTTCTAAGCATAATACTAGGAACACCATCAGAACCTAAACTTTGGGATGGATTCAAGGATTTTCGACATTTAAATGCATCATGTGTATTAAAACCTGGAAAACAGCTGTCCATTTGACTTGGGATATTAGGACAGGTGAAATCAGCTTGCTGACGTATGAATGACTTGCAAACATCTGAACAAGCTTCTTTTGTCATCTGTTGTAAGCTCTTTAAATAATTTCTATATATTCGAAGAGTTCTTACACTATAGGAGCTTCTGGTTATAAATAGTATTCAGACTTAATTAGGCAGTTAAGTCTTTCAACGCCAGAGTGACCTCTCATCTTATACAACCTTCTCTTTTCTCTCTACAGCCTCTTGAGATGAGGGAAGGGAAGTCTGTTGAATCTCATGTAGATTTATTCAGCAGGGTAGCAAATATCGAGACAGAATCTGAGATATCTTGTGATCTTGGTGATAGTGTTGCCTAAAACTTCATCAGCAAATATATCCTAGTCTCTTTCTGTTAGCATACTTCTCAAACGTAATATATTCTCTTGCGAATATCACCTGTACTAGACTTTCTTGGAAAGGTGTCCGAAAGCCCCCTTGTGTAAAACACGTACAATGAAGTGGTCAAAATCTAGCAGTGGAGCCCGCTTATGGGCTTCATATATGCCAAGTTCATTTGTCACTACTAAATCTAAGGTGTTGTCAAAACGAGTAGGAAAGGTACCCATATTTTCATGACCCAATGATGCTAGAAAATTCCAGTCACATGAAATCTCCACAGACTATGGACAGAACCGGAGCAGCGAATTCAGTGGATTCGTCAGCAGAAGTTGACAAATCTGAGAAACTGCAGTCAGGTGTAACATAAACGTTTGTTATGTATGTATATTTGTATTTACTCAAATGTTTAGGGTGATATTTAATGGTAATGCACTCAATTTTTTCGTTGGAGGAGCAGAAACATGCATATTTGGATGAGGACCAGTTTGAATTGATAAATGTTGTTACACACTACCACCACATTTCTTCTTGGAAATACTTCGATCTTGTCGAAATAATTTAAAACCATTTAAGCAGACTAAATCATCATCATACACGTTATGAAGCCGTGTTTCCTGTAGCATTATTACACCCGTATTTCGATAAACACTTGTATCAAAGAGTGACTGAAGGTAATCAACCTTCTTCGGTAACGACCTGCAGTTTGCGATGAGTATTTCCAAAATAGTAATTTGGTTTATGGTTGTAAGCTTGAGAACCTGTTGCCTTCCACCTTCATGCTTCTTCTTAATTTGCCTATCAGCTTATAAACCGATAGACTGTAATGACTTTAAAATTGCGCGAGAGTGTATAATGCGATTGGCTGACATAATTGAATGATTAAACCGATATAGAATAAAGAACTTTGATGCAATGTATTCTGTTATAAAATAAGGTGGCTCAGAGTTCAGACTTATGCGTAGCTACCAATTATTGTTTTGTGTTATCTTCATTTCTA